AAAACTTTATTAGTTTATTTTTCTTTTTCTAGCACTGTTGTTCTAAAAATTTGGGGTATATAGCTACTGGATTTGGTGGGAAATTTTCAAGTTTATTTAATTACAGTCAGATACATAAACATTATTACATTTATGAATGACTGTAATTTAATTTGTCTAACTTTCTAATATTTCTCATATAAATAATTTCTCACATCAGAAAACAAACAACTTTCTTGGTTTCTAAATCACAAGTTCTTAATTTTTGTTAAGGAATTATAGTCACCAAATAAACCTTCAATAATATAAGTAAATGCAAATTATAATAAGAGGAGTTTCCACTTATTAAATTGGTAATGATAAAAAATATTAAAATGCCTGGTGTTGGTAAAGGTGTAGGAAACTAACATTGTATATTTTGCTAGTAAGAGCATAATTTGGTAGAAACATTTTGAAGAAGGGTACGTAGTAAGTACCAAAAGCCTGAAAGATGTGTGTACCTTTTGATGTACAGATTCCATTGCTAAGAACTCATACTAAAGAAATAATTAAGGATTTAGGAAAAAATTTAACAGCAAAAACGTTTATTTAAGCACTGCTACGCATAGCATGAAGTTGGAAATAGATGACACATCCAACAGTAGGCATAACTTGGATTGTCATCCATCCCCAGATAGACTACATTATAGGTGTTTATAGTATGGAAGGATGTTTATATTACATAAAAATTACAATAGAATGGATTATATAATCTCATATTTATTAAAAAATGTCTGTACATGGAAAAGATTTTGGAAGCTATTAGTAATTGGTTCTTCTGGATGGGTGGATTGTATATATTTTCTTTTGCTTCTCAATATTTTCCAAGTTTTCTACAAAGAACATGCATTGCTATTATAACTTTATAAATCAAACTTCCTTTTCTAGTTGAAAGAGGAAACTAGGGCTATTCTAGATATAATTGGACAAAATACTGTTGAATCATCTCTCTCATTTCTTTGACCATGCCATCCATCCCTCACTCTATAGTACACATTAGATTTTGCTTGGCTCGTATGCTGTACAATCTGGCCTCAAGGAGGGGACATTCTCCTGATTTAATTTCTGTGGCAATAAGAGTTGAAAGAAACCTTAGATATCATTTAGTCTATTCCTTTTCATTTTACAAAATAAGGAATTTGAGAGAAATCCAAGAAATTGGATGATTTAACTAAGGTCACAAGGCTACCTAAGCAGCAACTAAAATCCAGTCTCCAGATTCCCCATCTGCTTATTCCCAAGTAATTGGCTTAACAGCCCTCATCAATGATCCTGGCTGCCAAGTTGGCTTTGGGGAGGGGGTACACAGCAGCTCCACCAACAGGAAAACCCAAAAGAAATCATAAGCCAGTTGAACAAAAACCTAGTTACTCTTATAACACTAAAATGAACTCCCAAGTGTCAGAGGAACATGAAAAATATATCAAGAGTACATAGAGGTTCTTCCATGTTGTCAAGTATTGACTCCTTTAGGAAGATACAGATGTTGAAACAAAGAAATTTTGTGATTAAGTCACTCACGAACCACGCGTTGATGACTGCTACTACTACTGTAGGAGTTGATTAACGGCAATATATATCCTTAAGTAACAAAATAGTTCATATATTTATGGTAGATTGTTAGTGTCTAAAAAAGCAATAATTATATGGCTTTTAACATTTATTTTCTTCCATGCATAAACAAAGAATATGAATAACACATATCAGTGGTTCTCAAAATGTGGTCTGCCATCCTGGGTGGGTGTATGGGGAATAGTTGTTGAGACTATTTCAGTAAGTATGTGAGGCTGAAAGTATTTCGTAATAATACTAAGACATTATTCACCTTTTCACTTGGTTGATGTCTGCACTGATGGTGAAAAGCAATGGTAGATAAAATGGTTGGCACTTTAGAACAAATCAAGGCAGTGGCACCAAACTGTTCTAGCAGTCACTATGTTCTTCACTGCCACTCCCTCAGGCTAAAAATAATGTCAACTTCACTTTAAAATGTCCTTGGTGTGATAGTAAAAATTATTAATTTTATTAAATCTCAACCATTTAATATATATGTGTGGCAAAGTAGCCATAAAGCACGCCTGCTGCATACCTGGGTACAATGGTTGTCCAGGGGCTCTGGCTGTCCGAATAAAAAGCACTTGTGCAACTGACTGAACTTTGAGCTGAAATAGCTGCTTTTTTCACAGAACACCATTGGTACTTGAAAAAAACGAGTGGCAGACAAACTACGGTTACTCAGACTTAAGTACTTGGCAGAGATTCTCTCAAGAAAGCATGCCTGTCACTTCAAGGAAGACTACTGAAAGTATTTGTTACCAATGAAAAAATGCCAGCTTTCAAATGAAAATTAGAATTTTGAAAAATTGTATCTGCCACCATGAGCTTACCAGCTTCCTAATATTTGATGACTTTTGCAATGGGATGATGATATTAAGGAGTATGATTGCTTGATACTGTCTAATGAAATGTGTCAACATTAAGGAAGATCTGTGTAACACAGTGAAGACTATTTTCGAAATGATCAGTGTTTGATATTACAAAATCACTCAAACTGTAAGACAGATCTTTGGATTTTAATGTCACAGTAGGAAAAGTACATTGATAGTTTCATATTTCATGCTGCAATCATCCTTTAAAAAACTACCACTTGTCACACTTTGATGTGATATCAAAGAATACCCATGATGATCTTAAAAGATCTATTAAAATACACCTCTTTTTCCAACTATATATGACAGGTGGGATTTTCTTCATTTTCTTAATCCAAAACTAATCAGTGCAACAGAGTAAATGCAGAAGCAGTTGTAAGAATCCAGCTATCTTCCATTAAGTCACAGATTTGTTTTACAAAAGTGCAAAACAATGCTACTCCAAGGGTGATTCTTATTTAAGAAAACAAAACAAAACCCAGAAAACAAGTGTTGATGAAGATGTAGAAAAACCAGGACTCTTGTGCTTTGTCAATGGAGTGTAAAATGGTACAGCTGCTGTGGAAAACAGTATGGTGGTTCCTCAAAAATTAAACACAGAATTACCATATGATCCAGTAATCCCTTTTCTATGTATATACCACAGAGAATTGAAAGCAGAGACTTAAACAGATATGTGCACATCAATGGTCATAGCAGTATTATTCAAAATAGCCAAAAGATGGAAACAATCCAGTGTCCAAGGATGGATGAGTGGACAAATGAAATGTGGTATGTCCATACAATGAAATACTATTCAATCTTAAAAAGGAAGGAAATTCTGACATATGCTACAACATGGATGAACCTTAAAGACATTATGCTAAGTGAAATAAAACAGTCACAGAAGAACAGATACTGTACGACTCCACTAGCATGAAGTACTTAAAATAGTCAAATTCATAGAGACAGAAAGGATAGTGGTTACCAAGGATTGAGAGAGGGGATAATTAGGAGTTATTGTTTAATGAGTTTGGGATGATAAAAAAAGTTCCAGAGACAGATAGTGGTAATGATTACATAACAATGTGAATGCACTTCATGCCACTGAACTATGCACTTAAAAAAGATTAAAATGGTAAATTTTGTGTATATATTACAATTAAAAAAAACTGAAAAAAAAATCTAAGGAAAAAAAAACCCATGTCACTCTTCTCAGACATTTTTGGAAACATTTTGGGAAATAGTTATTTTCCATTAAAAATGTTATTTATGCATGTAATGAGTTTATTATTGTTTTTAAAATAAACTAATAAATACTTAAAAAATCTCCCTGGTTTCATTTCTAATATGGTAAATATGGAAATATACAACTCATGTAAACAGAAGCTCTTAAGTCTTCAGTAAGTTTTGAGTGGTAAAGAGGTCCTGAGACTAAAAAGTTTGAGAACTACTGTCTTATTTGAAATTTATTCTCTTTTTATACCTGCGTTATATGAAGACATACATTTCTTCATTTGTTGGTTTAGCTTCATTTGACAGCTATATCACTTGTAGCCTGCAGACTAAAAGGACATCCTGGAACATGGTCAAAATCATCACATTAACTCTTTATGATTTCTATTGTTCCTGCATGCACCAAAACTACAAGGACTGAACAGCAAAAAGCTCCACAGATGACTGGAAGCATACAACAGGAAACTGTTAAAAAGCTTACATGCTGATTGGTATGTTCTAAAGTAGTTTTATAAGGATCTAGCAAGAAACACACATTTTCCTTTTTCTGTTGGATCTTCATTCGGATTTTCAGTTCAAGGCTAAATTTGGGAATCGGGGTGGTAGTGGCATTGTTTCCGAAAACCACTCCATCCAGCGAATCCGTGCTAAGAATTTAATTCTCTCACCATCTTACTCCTGGTCTATTGCAGAGGGGTGTGGTTAGGGAGCTAGGAAGCAATCCAAATCAGCAGCTGAGGCTGCCCCAAACCCTGTGCAAGCAATCATTTCCTCCATTTTGGGCCAAGTCAATTTTCCCCGGCAAGAGGCAGACTGTTTCATGCGGAAGAATTAAATTAAAAGGAAACTAGAAAGCATGGGCAGAAATAAGTAGCAAAACCATAGCGGCTTTATCGTGTGTGGATGTTAAACGATTTGTAAGCCAATGGTATGCATGAGGGGCAAATGAAAATTGTTATTCAAGTCTATAGCTGCTGGCACTTTTAATGACAGATCTGCAGTTCCGGGTGCGGGAGAAAGTCAAATGATTTTCTTATCCCGATCATCTTTCTGCATTCGTGTGGGGCCGGCCTGTGACCAGTCTCGCTGCTTGCGGCTGAGGCAAGTCCCAAACAAAGAGGAATGGATGCCCTCCCAAGGGAGCGGAGGAGGGAAAGGTGGCCCCAAGTTCCCGCGCCAGGTGTCCTTTGGGGTAGACTACGCGGGCCATGGGGAGGGAGGGTTCCAGGAGCGTTGTAGGGTTGCTGCGGTGAAAGGCTGGGCCGGGGCGCCCGGCACTGACCGGGCAGAAGACCCCGCCCTGCCCACGGTCAAGGTTAGCCCGCGCAAGGGAGGTACCTGTGGAGGCCTCGCACAGCCGAAAGGCACTGGGCGATCATGGGAGCGCCGAGAGGCGACGGCGGCGGCGAGCGCGTTGTCCTCGGGTTGGTGAGGGGGGAGCGGGCGCCGGGAGCGGCGTGGGCGGCCTACGG